AGCCAGTTCCCACTTCAACCCAGTTCATCCCGTTTCTGGGAGCCTGGGTTCACACCAGGTGAGTGCCGGGATGTCTGGGAAGGATGTGGGCAGCCCCAAGAGGCGGTGGAGGTGAACGAACCCGAAGGCAAGCGAATAATTAACCTGCTCCCTGAGCAGCAGTGGCAAGACGCAGGGCTTTTCTCAGCACTCGCCCCGCTGCAGGCAGACTTTGCCCAAACCTGCACCTTCAGTGTGGCCAATTAAGTAATCATTAACTGGCTCTCTTCTTGGCATTGAAACTTCTGAGGTTACTGAGAGGATATGGGCACTGGCAGAGTCCAAAAAATTCCTGTTGCCTGGGGATTAGTCGGGTGCTTTGGGAATGAGAGCGGTGGCTGGTTGGGTGAATTTGGGGGATGGATGGGGTGTTAGTGGGGAGAAGGGAAGGGCTGAGGCTGCACCGTGGCAACTGCTGGGCACCCTGGGTGCCACCCAGCACACCAGAGGATGTCCAAGCCAAACCTGGCTTCCCCACCGAAAACAGCCTTATTAGCCCAGCTTCATGTCACTGATGATTTGGTTTATAAAATGCACGGAGGGAACCAAGGGGCAACGCTGCCCCTCTGCCCCCGAGGGAGGTTCCCTGTGAGCAGAAGTGATTCCACCCCATCCCCTTCCCCAGCCTCCAGCAGGATGTGCCCAGCCTGGAGATGCTTGAACACGAGCTGGCCTGGATGAAGGAAACGCTCTCCCAGCTGGGGTCCCCCGTCGTCCTTTGCCACAACGACCTGCTCTGCAAGAACATCATCTACGACAGGGCACAAGGTTCGGGGCAGCAGCTTCGCGCGCCCAGCAGAGGGGTCTGTCCCTCACCCACCTCCCCGGGGGCCAGCGGCTCCTTGCCCAGCTGCTCTCCCAGCCTCTGCCTTTGCCTCCGCAGAGCACGTCCGCTTCATAGACTACGAGTACACTGGCTACAACTACCAGGCTTTCGACATTGGAAACCACTTTAATGAGTTTGCAGGTGAGTCACGCTCCTCCCATGGCACCCAAAGTGTCCCCTGGTTGCAGCAGCTGCCCCAGAATCTCCCAGTCCAGGGGGACGGAGGACTCGGTTGCATCCCCAGTACCATGGTGGGAAATGGGGCATTTTCCCCTCGGGCTGCCCAGGGTTGGAGCGATGTGCGAGGGAGGGTCTCTGTCTGTGGTGAGCAGCCTGGCTGCTGCGGGGATGTGACGCCTGCACCAGTCCAGGTCTTAACCACGCAAGGGCTGGGTGTGTGCCTTGAATCGGCAGGTTGATCCCCAGCTTGTGCGAGCCTGGAAGCTGCAGGGGTCTTGCTCAGCTCACCCAGTTGTGCATGGGGAGAGCCCCAGCTTTGCCCTGGAGGAACTCTCCCTTTCTCCCTTCTGCCCTGTGGGCATCGCTGACCCCAGCTCCCCTCGCAGGCATGAAGGAGGTGGATTATCGCCTCTACCCCAGCAAGGACACCCAGCTCCAGGTGGCTGCACTCGTACCTGCAGGCCTACAAGCAGCTCACCCAGGGGGACCAAGGAGGCACGGGGGTGTCCAAGGAGGAGCTGGAGGCTCTCTACGTGCAAGTGAACAAGTTTTCTTTGGTGAGTAGTGGAAGTGGGAAGGAGCCAGCCTCTCTTGAGGGCTGCCCATGGGATGGGTTTTCCTCTGCTCTCGGGTGAGCTGGGGCTTCTTGCTGCGGCTCGGCTGGTGAGGATAGAGGTGCAAGTAGCAGCCTGGGGGTGTGGGGGCACCTGCAGCACGAGGCTGCCCCAAAGAGCCCAGCTGCACCTTGGAGATGCTGAGCCCTCGGGCAAGGTCAAAGATAGCGCTGGCTGCCCACCATCCCACCAACTTGTGCCAAGGGACAGTGTGTCTCTGAGAGCTGCAGCCTTGGGCATCCATTCAGGGGCCCGGCAGACCTTGGGCACAGCCAGGCACGAGGAAATCCTCTTTGGTAAATGCTGTGGACAGGTGGAGCTGATTTTCTGGAAACTTGGGGCAAAATCCCAGCTGGTTTCCTGGCTGGAGCTGCCAGGAGGGACATCCCGGCTGCAAATGCAGAGGCTGGTACCGTGAGCACGTTGTGCAGCTGTTCAGCATCCTTCCTGCTGGCATCCCTGCCCGGGCTGGGACCAGCCTCCCGAGCATATAAAAACACATGTGTGGGCCAGCCCCAGCTGACTGCCACCCCACATCCTGCCGTCACAGCCACGGGACTTCTGGAACCTGGCCAGCGACTCGTCCTGCGGTCAGGGATGCTCCGTGCCCATTTCTGATCCTTGTTCTGTCTGTTGCAGGCATCTCATTTCCTCTGGGCGTGCTGGGGCCTGATCCAGGATAAATACTCTACTATAGACTTTAACTTTTTAAGGTGAGTCCGCTGGGGCTGGGGGATGTTTGCTCCCAGTGCTGTTGTTCAGTGTTCAATGACGGGAGCAAGAGGATCCCGGTGATCCCTCCACGCTGGAGGAATCCTCTGACCCAGGGGACACGGGGCTGGGGCACGAGCGTCTGACGTCTGTCCCTCTCTCGTCTCTCAGCAGATATGCAAAGCTAAGGTTTAAACAGTACTTCAAGATGAAGCCGGTGGTCACAGCCCTGCAGATCTCTAAATAGCATCTCCGGCCCGTGAGACCCTGAGCTATTTTGTCCTTGGTGCATCCACAGCCCTCACATCCCCCTCGCCCCTTCCCCGCCCCAGCTGGGGGTCGAGGGCAGGTCCCGATGGTGGGAAGGGGGAGAGGAGCTCTGTCCCGGCCACCAATTAAAGGAGACCCTGGACATGCCTGATACTGGACAGTGAGATGCTGGAGAGGACCACGGCCTCAGAGAGGCCCCCGCCTACGCAAGGAAGCCTTACCATCGCCTTAACGCTGAGCCCCAGCTTGGCCCCGGTGCCCGGCAGGTCTGTGCTTTGCTGGCACTACTGCTGCTTGGCCTGGCACCCAGTTTGCTCCCTCTGTGCTGTCCCTGAGGGGGAAAACAGGTCCCCCAGCCCGTCTGCCCAGGAGCCCCCAGAGCTGCCCAGTTGCTTTAGCTGCTCAACACACATGCTGTGCCCATCGCCTTCGCTGCTCCCTCTGTCCCCTCTTGCCTGCTCGGTGCCATTGGGGCTCCCACCCCCAAACCAGCACCTTTCTTGGGTCTGTATTGATGCTGGGCTTGGGGCTGACCCTGAACATGGGACTCTTTTCCTCGAGGGGTGGGTGCTGCTGTGCTCCAGCTCGGATGGTGCCAAAGCAGCGAGGGGAGGCGATGGCTGTGAGCCATGTGGACTTGGCAGCAGCAGACTTTTGCTGGCTGGCGCTGGGTGCCTGCACCCCCTGTGATGTGCTCAGCCCACGGCTGGCCCTGCTTTTCCCCACGGCCGTGGTCTCCCAGACTTCCATTAGCTCCCTGCTCCCATCAGGGCTTCCCTTGTAGCATCCTGTGCTGCCAGAGCAAGGGGGTCCCAACTCTGCCTTCCCTGTCTCCCAGAGGGGTCAGCCCTGCCTCTCACTTGGACACCAGCCGTGTACTCCTTTTTTAGGCTGTGTCCCTGCATGGGACCCCCTGGCAGGAGGTTGAACGGAGCTGACCTACTCCATGAGCCGGGCACAACTTCATCCCGTCAGCACTCAGCTGCTTCCCCCGCTGCAGGCTCTGCAAGGGTGATCCCGACCTGCTGAGCACTGTCCAGCTCATGACAGTGGCTGTGCCTCAACTGGGAGCTGGGCTCAGACCCCTCTGCCCCTGCCTTGGCTGCTCAGTGAGTGGCGTGGGGACAAGGTGGCTGTCCCCTCTGCACGGGCATGGGATCTACCCCAGCGAGAACGGGGGCTGTTGTTACATCTGGTGTTCGTTTTGGTGCAAAATAAAAGCTGCTGGAAATAGGGGATGGCGGATCTATGGGGACTGGTGCTGGAGCAGGGACAGCATCCCTGGGACCTGGGGCTACACCTGGCCCCTCCTGCAGCTGGAGGTGTCCCCCGGTAGGGTGGGCTGACGATGTCCCCCTCGTGCTCCCGACCTCTCTTTGGGTGCTGCAGGGCAGCAGCAGCTGTGCAGCACAGGAGGGTGTTTGCATGCACCACTCGCTGCCTCTTCCCTGCTGGCAGCAACTGCTGGGGCTCATCCTTGTCCCAGAGTGATGCTCTTTGGCTTAAAGCAGCCTTCTGCAGAGCTCATCTCTCCCCAGCTTCATGGTGGGTGCCCTGGCAGCCCCCTGAGGCCCTGCTGGGCTCAGGCAAGGGCAGGCGGGACCCCTGGGCTGCAGCGGGAACCAGGTGGGGGAGGCTGAACCCCAAACCTGCTGCCATGTGGGGTGAGACCTTGAGAAAACACAGGTGAGAGGTGGGGAGGAGAGGGGGAGCAGCCTGGGACCCACCAGGGATGGACAGGGCAGGAGAAAAAGCTGAGAAACAGCACAAGTGAAAAGATAAGAGGGAGCAAGAGTCTGAGGAGGGGGCTGTGCTGGAAGGGGGGGCAGGGAGGGGAGAGAACAAGCACCCCTTGTCTGTGCTCTGCCTGCCCGGGGTGACAGGTCCCCATCCAGCCCTCGGCTCTCCCCGATGCCAGGCTGGGAAAGTTCAGACTCGGATCTCTGCTCCAAAAAGTCATCTTTATTGTGCCAAGGGGTGGGGAGACAATTGTAAACAAGTATGTGAAATATACAGGTTAAGTTACTCATCGTCTTATTAACAAAATAAAGCTCTATCTATATTTACAGTCTTTTTTAAAAAAAAAAAAAAAAAAAGAAGAGCTGCATTTGTTGGGCACGTCTGCTTCCAGCCCCCTCTGCAGCACAGCCCAGCCCATCCCGGGCATGGGCACCCCTTCCCCAGGGACCCTGGCCCCAGCCAGAGCAGCACAGGGAGGGGGAATAAATAAAGCACTGACAAAGGGCAAGAGAGAAGAGAGGCGTTTGGTGGGTGGGCGAGGGGGCAGGGTGCTCCCCTGGATAAACACTGGATAAGCACCGGGGCCCCGATGCTGC